TGTGTAGAGTTACTGTGTAGAGTTACTGTGTAGAGTTACTGTGTAAAGTTACTGTGTAGAGTTACTGTGTAGAGTTACTGTGTAGAGTTACTGTGTAGAGTTACTGTGTAGAGTTACTGTGTAGAGTTACTGTGTAGAGTTACTGTGTAGAGTTACTGTGTAAAGTTACTGTGTAGAGTTACTGTGTAGAGTTACTGTGTAGAGTCACTGTGTAGAGTTACTGACCAGTCTTCCTTGCTTCTGTGGTGCATCATCTGGCCTTGGTCTAGGATCCTGCTCCGCGGATCAAACATAGCCCACTAAGAGCTACCACCACCACCCACTCTGATCTGTTCTCAGGATCTACCATAATCTATCACCAGGATCCACCAGAATCTACTACCAGGATCCACCAGAATCTACTACCAGGATCCACCAGAATCTACTACCAGGATCCACCAGAATCTACTACCAGGATCCACCAGAATCTACTACCAGGATCCACCAGAATCTACTACCAGGATCCACCAGAATCTACTACCAGGATCCACTGCAATTTACGACGAGGAATCCACCACAATCTGCCACAACCTATCACGAGGCTCCACCTCAGTTTTCCACCAGTTCCACCACAATTTAAAACCATGACCCACTACAATCTAGAAACATTACCAGTTATGACCAACATAAACTCGTCACCTTCATCCACCAAAATCATCCATCACAATCCACCAAAATCACCCACCACAATCCATCAAAATCACCCACAACAACCCTCGAAAATCACCCACCACAATCCACCAAAATCGCCCACCACAAGCCACTAAAATCATCCATAATAATCCACTAAAATCATCCATCAAAATCAACCACCAAAATCATCCACTACAATCCACCAAAATCATCCACCAGAATCCACCAAAATCGCCCACTATAATTACCCAAAATCACCCACCACAATCAAGAATAAACCTTCACCACCATCCACCACCACAATCCACCACCACCATCCACCACCATAATCCACCACCACCATCCACCACCACAATCCACCACTGTCACCCACAAGAATCTACCATTTTTGTAACACATTAGTCGTCGATGGTCGATAACTAACTCGACTCTCATTGTGTGGATGTTTACTGCTTTCTGATCCCTGCCGGAGCTCCTAGATGAGTGGAGCTCCTAGATGAGTGGAGCTCCTAGATGAGTGGAGCTCCTAGATGAGTGGAGCTCCTAGATGAGTGGAGCTCCTAGATGAGTGGAGCTCCTAGATGAGTGGAGCTCCTAGATAAGTGGAGCTCCTAGATGAGTGGAGCTCTTAGATGAGTGGAGCTCCTAGATGAGTGGAGCTCCTATATAAGTAGAGCTCCTAGATAAGTGGAGCTCCTAGATAAGTGGAACTCCTAGATGAGTGGAGCTCCTAGATGAATGGAGCTCCTAAATGAGTGGAGCTCCTATATAAGTGGAGCACTTAGATAAGTGGAGCTCCTAGATAAGTGGAGCTCCTAGATGAGTGGAACTCCTAGATGAGTGGAGCTCCTAGATGTGTGGAGCTCCTAGACAAGTGGAGCTCCTAGATGAGTGGAGCTCCTAGATGAGTGGAGCTCCTTGATGAGTGGAGCTCCTAGATAAGTGGAGCTCCTAGATGAGTGGAGCTCCTAGATGAGTAGAGCTCCTAGATGAGTGGAGCTCCTATATAAGTGGAGCTCCTAGATGAGTGGAGCTCCTAGATGAGTGGAGCTCCTATATAAGTGGAGCTCCTAGATCAGTGGAGCTCCTAGATAAGTGGAGCTCCTAGATGAGTGGAGCTCCTAGACGAGTGGAGCTCCTAGATGAGTAGAGCTCCTAGATAAGTGGAGCTCTTAGATGAGTGGAGCCCCTAGATAAGTGGAGCTCCTAGATGAGTGGAGCTCCTAGATGAGTGGAGCTCCTAGATGAGTAGAGGTCCTAGATAAGTGGAGCTCCTAGATGAGTGGAGCCCCTAGATAAGTGGAGCTCCTAGATGAGTGGAGCTCCTATATAAGTGGAGCTCCTAGATAAGTGGAGCTCCTAGATAAGTGGAACTCCTAGATAAGTGGAGCTCCTAGATAAGTGGAGCTCCTAGATAAGTGGAGCTCCTAGATAAGTGGAGCTCCTAGATAAGTGGAGCTCCTAGATAAGTGGAGCTCCTAGATAAGTGGAGCTCCTAGGTAAGTGGAGCTCCTAGATAAGTGGAACTCCTAGATAAGTGGAGCTCCTAGATAAGTGGAACTCCTAGATAAGTGGAGCTCCTAGATAAGTGGAGCTCCTAGATAAGTGGAGCTCCTAGATAAGTGGAACTCCTAGATAAGTGGAGCTCCTAGATAAGTGGAGCTCCTAGATAAGTGGAGCTCCTAGATAAGTGGAGCTCCTAGGTAAGTGGAGCTCCTAGATAAGTGGAGCTCCTAGATAAGTAGAGCTCCTAGATAAATGGAGCTCCTAGATAAGTGGAACTCCTAGATAAGTGGAACTCCTAGATAAGTGGAACTCCTAGATAAGTGGAACTCTTAGATAAGTGGAACTACTAGATAAGTGGAACTCCTAGATAAGTGGAACTCCTAGATAAGTGGAACTCTTAGATAAGTGGAACTACTAGATAAGTGGAACCCCTAGATAAGTGGAACTCCTAGAGTTCTACAGCAGCTGTACATCTTACACACTGCTACTGGTGCTTCCAATGAATTGGCTCCCTACATAATAATATATTACAATGTAAAGTTGTAAGGTATTGACTTAAGATGTTGTAAGGTATTGACTTAAGATGTTGTAAGGTATTGACTTAAGATGTTGTAAGGTATTGACTTAAGATGTTGTAAGGTAGTGACTTAAGATGCTGTATGGTAATGACTTAAGATATTGTAAGGTAGTGACTTAAGATGCTGTAAGGTATTGACTTAAGATGTTGTAAGGTAGTGACTTAAGATGCTGTAAGGTATTGACTTAAGATGTTGTAAGGTATTGACTTAAGATGTTGTAAGGTATTGACTTAAGATGTTGTAAGGTAGTGACTTAAGATGCTGTATGGTAATGACTTAAGATATTGTAAGGTAGTGACTTAAGATGCTGTAAGGTATTGACTTAAGATGTTGTAAGGTAGTGACTTAAGATGCTGTAAGGTATTGACTTAAGATGTTGTAAGGTAGTGACTTAAGATGCTGTATGGTAATGACTTAAGATATTGTAAGGTAGTGACTTAAGATGCTGTAAGGTATTGACTTAAGATGTTGTAAGGTATTGACTTAAGATGCTGTATGGTACTGACTTAAGATGTTGTAAGGAGTCTGGGTAATGGGTGACTCTCTGTGTGTAAGAGAACTGGCAGGAATGCTCTGCATAACTATGGGTTTTCTGCATGATCAGCTGAATGTCACCCATCTCTGTACAGACATTGTATCATGCTGAAACAAATTAATAAGATTATTAGCGTCGATAGGAAGGTTAGGCTGGGTTATTGTCCCATTGGGCGAATGCAGAATAGCTGAAGAGTGTTGTGAACTCCCACTGCTGATTATTCCAGTTCAGTCCATCTGGCTTCCCAGGCAGCATACCATTCTACACTAGTATGGGCCAGCAGGCCTGCTGCAGTGTTCCTCCTTTCATATGTTTTTACCTTTAGTTTCAACTGGACATTGTTGTTGGTGATGTTCACATCGCTACCGATCGTTACATCTTACACTGCAACCTGCCTCAGTTTCCATAAACCAGTAGTTGTTCTAATATCTGTTTTTTTCAGTATCCTTCATTTTCTTCGCTGCACAAGACTTTCAACAATTCCATCAATAAGTCTCCGTCGTGTCTTTCCAGCAGGTGGTGGTGTTGTTCCTGGACAGGTCTGGAAAGAACAGTCTCTCTGCTCACCCCGGCCACAACACCTGATCCTTCAGTACCATCGTTCGTCATGGTGTCACCAAGATGCACTTCTCCAGTCATCGACAAAAATAGACGTATACAGTACATAGGAAACGTAAATGTATCAGAATAAAATAACACAGAATCAATAGTGCATCCCTCGAAGTGCAATTGTATCAGCGGTTTCGATTAAAAGTGTGATAATATACGTATTTTAGGTAAAAAATTAAATATGTCAGAAAATTCTTCAAGCCGCCCTGAAACTCGAAATAGAGAAGCATCCCTACATACTAGTCTAATAGGTATAATCCTAATCATAATTTTTAAAGGGTTGGAGGGGTAAACCAGTGGAAGTCCTCGATCAGATAACCCAAACCTCCAGCAGGGGGTCATCATATAACTATGACCCGGGTCAGGAAACATTTGTCCTGTTTCCTGACAAACCTTATCTAAAAGTATTGTGGAAAATTATATAATATAGCGATAAGATGAAGATTAAGACACATGTGCAACAGTTGCGTATCTTTATTGTTGGAGTAAAAGTGTTTGAGGTGGTCAGTCCCTCAGCTTCCAGACTGAGGGACTGACCATGTTTTAATCTTCATACCTTTCCTAACCTAACCTAACCTGACCTAACCTAACCTAACCTAACCTAACCTAACTTAGAACCAGTGAAGCACCGTCAGGCATCCAGACCAACAAGTGTGTGGAAGGGGAAGGTTACAGTGTTCCTGAAGACCAACTCTTGAGAGTAGACTGTTGTGTTGAGCTCTATCACCACCACGTCTGGTACACACCACTGCACTCTACTCCACTTTTACCCACAAACTGCACATAGTTTAACGTATCAGCGTGTACACAACCCGCACATAAGAGAAAGAAACTTTATGACGGGTTTCGGTCCAACTTGGACCAGTACGACCAGTTAATGGTCCAAGTCGGTCTGAAACGTCGTCATTAAGATTTTTTCTCCCATACGCGTGTTATTTATGTATCGTTCCTGTCACAGTATTGTACCTTTGTGATCTTTATATCGGCGTGTGTAGTTAAGGCTTGCAATGATGGCTGCACTTACGACACCTACCACAATCCACCACTATCCCACACTCCACAAGCATTAGTAACCACAATCCAGCAGCAGTACTACCCACCGGCTTGCCCACGATGTACAGAATGCGGCAGTTGAGTACGGCCGTCGAGCCGACCTGAGCAGTGACGTTCCCGGAGTGATGAACGTCTATGTAAGGTCCGCTGAGAGGAACGTAACCCCAGGAACCTTCAGCAGCAGCCTCGTCAAGCGCCTCCAGAATCTCCGCTTCCGTTCCTCCGTCCACTGCCAGGGTGAGAGATAGAGAGGTGAGAGGGACTGTCCACTGCTGGGGTGAGAGATAGAGAGGTGAGAGGGACTGTCCACTGCCAGGGTGAGAGATAGAGAGGTGAGAGGGACTGTCCACTGCTGGGGTGAGAGATAGAGAAGTGAGAGAGACAGCAGGAAGGAAGGGGAGACGTATAGCAGGAAGCAGGAACTTATAAATAAATTACCTCTCTTGTTCTCCTGTTATTGCTTGTGAGGGAGGGGAGGAGGGAGGGGGAGGGAAGGAGGGAGGGAGGGAGGGAGGGAGGGAGGGAGGGAGGGGAGCAGGGAAGGAGGGAAAGAGGGAAGGATGGAGGGAGAGAAGGAGGGAGGGAAGGCAGAGACAGTGAAGGAGTGGTAAAGATATTTAACGAGGTGGTAAATCCATTTCCCAAAGCGCTAAACCCGCATGGGTCATCGCAAGGCGGGGTGTAGGCTCGACCCTCCGAGCACAGATGACAGCCCAAGGTAAGAGCAACCAGGCTGTTGGTGACAGCAACAGAAAGGAGGGAAGGATGGAGGGAGGGAGAGAAGGGAGGGAGGGAGGGAGAGGAGGGAGGCAGGGAGGAAGAGGGGGAGGGAGAGAGAAAAGGGAGGGAGGGAGGGAGATGAGGGAGGCTGTAAGGGACAGGTGAAACCACGTGGAAAATTCTCAAAGTAATTAATTAATTTCACGCAAATTAAATTTATATTATATTAAAAGGTTACCAATATACATTCATATATATATATATATATATATATATATATAATATATATATATATATATATATATATATATATATATATATATAGGGAGGTACCACCTCTAGAACTGTCCTGGGGACCCTCATCCTCAGAGAAAAGAATAAACTTGCTTCAGGGAAAACTCAAGGTTCTCCCTGAAGCTGTTTGAGAATTTTCTCCTACCACACCCAATATTTCAAGTATGTTTTATTTAAAGGCAAAATACATTGGCCAAACATTCACAAAAATACAACAGAAAGTAAAACAACATAGGTAACTCAGAGCTACATCTCGAATACTTCGACCAGCTCCCCTGCGGTGGGCCGCGTGCCCAGAATGCTGCAGGCATTTCCTCTCTGGATAGCAACACTGAGTCTATGAAAGAGGAAGCTGGTCGCCCTGTGGTCCTTGGTTTCTATGATGAGCTTTTCACTCAGCTCTTTGAGGAACTTTAGAGCACACTTGCCCCATGCTCCAAGGGTCTCCGACCCTATTGAAATGAAGTTACAGCAAGGGGAAAGGTCTTCATATTTTCGGATCTTCTGGGTCTCCCTGTAGCTGGCAGCTCCACCCCCTTCCACTACGTAGTATAGCAAGTAGGTGTCTGCCAATGTGGCAGCACAGGTGTAGTCCCTGGCAATCTGCTTTCCATCCTTCCAAGGTAGCATAGTGGCTCCATCATGACGCTTTTGACTTCCATCAGACCTCTGTACTTGGGGTTCCCGTTCAGCGGAGCAACGGGCTGTGGCGAGGCTTCTCTTTATGATGTCATTGACCTCCTCATGTCTGGCATACTTCTCTTCTGCTGTGTGACACACGAGACCATGAAGTCCGAATTGATCAGCTGTCGCCCTGCCGCAAATACACCTATGTTCGGTGAGGACGGGGGCGGCTAGGCGAAGAGCAACACCAATCCGAATGGCCTGTGGGTCGAGGCGGGTGCCCAGGGAGGAATTGGGAACAGCTAACAGGAAATCACCTGAGTGTCGTGCCTTCACTGCCAGGAGACGAGCTTTGTTCTTTCCTGAAGCATTGGAGAACATTGTGTTGGCGATTTTTTCCATGATCGGTTTGTCCCAGTGGGACTGTTTGTGCTCTTTGGGAGGAGCTGGTCTACTGGAGGAGTCTGTAAGGGTGTCCCACCGAATCGCTGCTTCAGTAAACCTGGGGTCTTGAGCTCCTACCACGTCTCTCAAGCGTTCGGGAACTATCTTCTTGACTAATGCACTGGAAGCCAAACACGAAGACAGAAAAGCAGGTAAAGCAACATGCATTGCATTACGCACCCCTATACCTCCCAGTCGCACTGGGAGGGTTGCCTGATCCCATTGCTCATCCTCTAGTGACAGGTTCAGTGCCTTCTTAAAAGTTGATCTCAGGTGTGCGTCATATTCATCGAGTGTTGGGTTGTCAAAAGAGGGTGCACACCTCAAGAAGTAATTGAGTCTTGGCATAGTAAGACACATTGTGAGGAGATACAGAGCATCATGGGCATCAAGATCGCTTATTCTCTCCTCCATTCTCATTGGGTCATTCAATTTGTCCCTGAGGACAGTGTCGATGGCCTGGTGACCCAGCGGTGCTCTCACGAGGGTACTGTTGGACGGAGTGGTAGTAGAAACTTCCGAGAGGATTCTTCGCACAGCACTGATTGTTTCCTGGTTCGCTGTGATGATTTCACACTTGGAGGGATTGAGGATGAGTCCCAAGTCTTCTCCCTTTGTTTTCACCAGTTGTAGGTCCCCCACCAGGGACTCTTCAGTACCTGCCAGAGTGCCGACATCCAGGTACCAGATACTGAGCTCACTGCGTAGGCTGGAAGTTGGTTCTCATACTGCCAAGCAGAAGAGAAGTGGAGCGAGTGGGTCACCCTGCTGAACACCCTCTGATGACTGAATTTCATGTTCTCCAAACAAAAGAATTGAGGGTTTGCTGTAGCCGGCTGAAATGAAGGGAAAAAGACTGGGGAACCGATCCCGACCAGCTGGCAAAACAGCATCTCTCTTCACCATATTAAAGGCATTTCTAAAATCAAGTTTGACTATGGCCTTGTCTTCTGGTAGGTCCCTGATGTAGGCTCTTGCGGCATGAGCTGCGGCTTCACTGCCTTGAGAGACCCCAAGCCCATATATATATATATATATATATATATATATATATATATATATATATATTATATATATATATATATATATATATAATATATATATATAAATATATATATATATATATATATATATATATATATATATATATAATATAATTATATATTTATTATATGTATAATTAATATATATATTGCTTTAGAGTAAGCATTTAAAAATTAAGGAAACTAATATAGGTTATTCTCTCTCTCTCTCTCTCTCTCTCTCTCTCTCTCTCTCTCTCTCTCTCTCTCTCTCCACTGTAATAATCCAAAATTTAATGTCATATAAATTCCCCAGAGAAATACAGGATCCACATGTAAACTTCACTCCAAGGACAAAAAATACTGAAACATTTTTTGGAGGGGCAACAAAACAAATTATTTCAGGAAAATATTACAGCAGTTCCCGGTAAGAGGAAAAAAAACACGAAAAAAACATCAATAAGTTTTACTAAACACAGCATCCAAGTCTTTAACTTTGACTAAACGCAGCACAGAGGGTAAAATTTTCCCTAAACACAGCGCCAAAGTGTTGAACTTTCACTAAACTCACAGTGTTTACTGTTGAGGAGTTACGAAACACAGTAAAGAAATTGTTTGTGATTATATATGAGCATAAACATTTATCTGTTGGCAAAGCTCTGTTTAATACGAATAAACATGCACCAGGCGAAGCTACTCACTATATATATATATATATATATATATATATATATATATATATATATATATATATATATATATACATATATATATATATATATATATATATACATATATTTTATATATATATATATAATATATATATATATATATATATATATATATATATATATAGATACATATATATATATATATATATATATATATATATATATATATATATATATATATATATATATATATATATATATATATATATATATATATATATATATATATGCAAAACAACCACTCTGAAAGAATAGAGAAATTCCAAGCGCTTTCGTGACAACTCACATTATCAAGGAACTATGGAAGTAAAGCATCCAAGGAAGCTATATAAGGGGTCTGGCCAACACCTCACTATCAGATCCCACAACGGTTAAACACCTGACGCGCGCCGACCCAACTGTATAGGTCCTTTGCACAACTCACCCATAAACTATTCTACCCAAGAAAATTTAAAAATTATTATTTGTCCGGTGTATTATTAAATTCTTCCCAAATTTTATTAATTATAAATGGATCTAATTTATATAAACCAAAGGAAATATTCATATTATTGTCAAAACTGCTTTTTATGAAACAAGATTCAATTATATTCCTGTCGACCATGGACTTGCTTGATACTACTTTCTCAACTTTTTGAAAATCAATTGGATGGTTAAAATCTCTTACATGAATAAATAGAGCATTGGAATCTTGTCCAGTTCTAATGCTATATTTATGTTGTTTTAATCTTAGTTCGAGATTTTTACCAGTTTGAACCGTAAATAAACTTTATCGCAAATTTTACAAGGAATCTATAGACACATCCATCAGCATTTTGAGGGGAATTCTTTATCAAACGTTTTTTTACTGTATCAAGATTTTTGAATACAACTTTAATATTAAAAGTCTTAAGAAGAGAAGGCATATCAACCAAGTTTTCATGGTAAGGAAGGGAGAACCAACATATTTTTAGTTGAATAAGGCTGGTTGTCCCTTTTTGGATTGTAAAAAGTATTTCTAGCAACTTTAAAAGATTTATCAATTACATTTCTTGGGAATTTTAAATCATTACCTATTTCATAAATTTTGGATATTTCCTCATCTATGAACTCAGGACTACAAATTCGTAAAGCTCTCAAAAACATTGATGAGACAACAGACAGTTTGACTCTATCTTGATGCGAGGAATAATAGTGGACATAGGAACAGTTATTTGTAGGTTTTCTGTAAATTTTGAATTTGAATTCATTATTACCCTTAATAACCCTTAACACAATCCTCCCTAATAGAGCTAAATGGTTCAGATATGTTGATGATATTTTGTGTCTTATGCCCAAAAATGTAGATATACACCATTTCCTTGGAAAATTAAATAGCTTAGCCCATTCTATAAACTTTACTGTTGAGTTTGAAG